ATCACCACCGTCACTGTCCCACCATCACACCTACTCCCACCACCACTCACCTCATTACAATCAGTGTTTAAATTCTTTTCTCTTTCATCTATCTTTGTAATTTAATTTTAAATGTGAATATAAATATGTTTATTGTTAACAATTTTTTTATTATTCTGTATCTTCATATACGAGAAATAACTAATTAATCTATATCGGGCTAATCATATTCAGTTTCGAATTCAAATTCGGATCAAAATCTGATTCATTAACAGACCTAATATTATAGACCATAGCATATAAGGAGGTAAACCCAAATCAACATTGATTCTAAAAAATAAACACAAAAAATTAATAGTTTATGATTGAATAAAAAATATTACTTTATGCAGTAAAATTTATTTATTTAATTCTAAATAATTAAATAAATATTTCTCGGAAAGGAAGATTTAAAACTCATCTTTAGCAATATATATTTCGGAGGATTAATTTGTGCGATGCATATGATTTATATCCTAGTCTTATTGCAATATCTTCATCCTTCCTCCTCCCCCAAGGAGTTTAATTTGTCTAGTAGCCTAAGAAAGGAATGACGGTGGGTCGGATCGGGGCGGAGGGAGTAGTCTCCTCCGCTCTTGTATCCACATAATAAAAGTCCATTCACTCCTTGGTCTACCCCCGTTAGCAGTGTAAATTTTAATTCTTATCTTCGTCTCGTAGTTAAATTCTGATCCTTATCCCAATCCATTCAATTAAATTTTGTGATTTTAAGAAAAAATTGGAAAAGAAATTATAACAATTAAAGTACAAGTTATATCATTGTATTCTTGTACCACATGATATGATCAAAATCAAAAACAAAAAAGTAAGTTAACAACATAATCCCTAATTATTTAGAGAAAACAACAACAATAATAAATATATATCTTTATGCCTCTTTTTGCGGCTTGATTCTTTTGAATTAGAGTTAAGGACTCCTAAATCATAATATATATATATATATATATATATATATATATATATATATATATAGTTTAAGAGGGCAAGAATAAGTTTGGGTCCACCCTGCATCCATGATTGCACGAGTTTATATGGATATCATAATATATATTCACTATTTCATACGTATGATCTATCTATGATCTTAGACAGAATGAGTTTGAACAAATCTTCGTTTTTGTCTAGTCCATAACCTTCCCTACATATGTATAAGTAACATGTTACCATGTTTTTAGTGAAGGGAGGGTATGCCCCACGAATTCCAAAAGGAGAGTGGAAGGGTTGGATTGAACAAGGGGAGGCCAAATTTAGGGAATTTGGACAAAGTTGGAGGTTCTGGTTTTGGTGGGGGCAGCTGAGCTTTGTTGACCATCATTCCACTGTTCATTTTTAATCCACTAATGTATATCTGTACCCTGATTTAATTTTGTCTTAATAACCCTCACCAACCACAGTTTGTTTTCCCACTTGAATGCCTTGTTTTGTGTACTGTGTGGTGTGAACAGTATTCCACAATGAGGCAACACCATGGCTGACCAGCAATTGCCATACCCAACTTTCTTGTTTTTTTTTCCTTTTGAGTGCCTAAGCAAAGGTCTAACCTTGTCATTGTTTAAAATATCGGCTGATATTGATATGAGTCTGACAATGCACAAAACTGTTTTGTGCAAAATTAATAATCGAGTATGTGAAGATGTGTAATTAATGGACAATAAATAAATCAATCAATGGCAAAACAACAAATATCGAGTCAACACACAAATATATAGTAGTTCGTTTTGAGTGATCTGCTCCACTCTCGAAAAATAGCGGGGTGGCCGATGGTCTTTATTTATGAATAAAGTAACAAAGAGAGAACTTTAGGAGATATATGCTTTGGGAGAGATACAACAACGTAGGAGAGAGAAACTATGTGTATAGGTGCATAGAGGTGTCAAGGTGTGTTGGTAGATGTGTCTCTCCATGTGGAGAGAGAATACAATTTATAAGTATGGTGAGGCGGTGAGATGAGACGGTAACGTGAATATGAGGACATTATTTCTTCGGAGAGGATAGTTACAAAAGGTAAGTACAATTAATGTAGAATTGATTTTCATGAGTGTATATCTCGATAATCTCTCTCCCACGTGTTCTTATCTTCCTGCACTCCTTGGATCTTGGACTGCGTCAGATTGAACTGCCTTTTAACTGCCTTGATTTATTGAGTCTGACTTAATTTGATTTGGACTCCTCAAATTCAATTTACTCGTATCCAATTCAACACTTTCAATTAAAAGTCTGACGCAATTTAATTCAATAGTTACAAGATATTTTTGAATCGACAACGAGTTGTCCATGTCATCATTTTTGAATTGACAATAATGTTTTATGAAACTATGATACGACTTAAATGTCTTATCATGTTTAACTTCTTTTTTTATTTAATATTTTACGCGTATTACTTGCTACTATTCCGTAAATTCAGGATCGACTTATCTTACAATTTTCCAAGTTGATGACCAAACTTTGCACCACAAACCTGATCATCCACGGCAAAAGATTATGTTACTATGGTTTGAGCTTCCTACACCCCCACCTTTCCTTCCCCCAAAATAATGGTTAGGGTACATGAGAAAATTTTCAGTGTCAGTAACCACGACATCATGATGTTACGTGCAACTTATAAAGCACTGAATAATTTTTTTAGGGGTATACTGGTGTGATTGACACTATCTACCCATTAATAATTACTTGACGTACACTAAGTCCACCCTTAACCAATTAAAACTTACTCCTCAACCACACTCAACTGTGTATAGTCATATTTATCTCTTTTAATCTCTTTTTTTTCTCCCTTAACCAATTAAACCACATTCAATTGTTTATAATCATATTTAGTCTCTTTTTATCCTCATTCATATCTTCCTCTCACTCTCTATTTCTCACGCATTTGGTGATAACGTGCATGATTCTCTGGTTTATAATTAAAGGTGAACAAGTCTTTAATTAAAAGGCGGTGGAACACGAGAATGGATTAATCGTTACATATTCAGTTAGTACGTCATGGGAAATTACCGTTCAAATTGACACGATGCTTGAATGACATCCTATCAAGACTTTTAGGTATCACTAGTACAAGGGTGCCTTTAACTCTATTAAGTTCCACAACTTAAATACAAGATTCTGGACGGAGATCGGTCCTCGAGTGCAAAGACACAAGGGAGCTTAATTGTCAGACTCACTCAAGGACGAAAGTCGGTTTTATATTTCATTTGATACGCTAAAAAAGTGGGACGATGAAAAATTAAAAGAAAGAAAAATTAGAAAAATAAATAAAACATCATATTTGATAAGAAAGAAAAGTAGGAAGGATGAAAAAGTGGATGAATGCACTTTCATTCTAACTTACCAAAATCAATATCTCCAAAATGGGAAGGAAAATGGATGAAAAGTTAATTATTTGTGTTGAGATGTATCTTATTTGTCTATATATATATATATATATATATATATATATATATATATATATATATATATTAATTTCATATAAAACTACAATAGTAAAATATGTATTTATATTAATGGTAAAAAAAAATATTGTTTCCATCTTAACTAGGTGAAAATTTTCGATTCAACACGATAACACGATTCGAACTCAATACGGATATAAACAGGTCAACTCGTAACTCAACACGACGCAATTAATTAAATGAGTTAAGTTAGGTTTGATTAATATTCGACACAAATTTGTAATGACTCAACACGAATTTAATACGACATGACTCGATTGTAATCCCTAATCTTAACCATCACAAAAAAAAAAAAAAATTTGTTATTTTTATTTTTCATATATTCAACCAAACACAAAGGAAAGAAAGTGTATCATTCCCACTTTCTATCATTTAAAGGATAAAAAGTGTATCCCTCCTACTTTTCATCTTTCTTATTTTTTATCCTCCTTATCAAACGAAGCATTAGTGATTTGACAATCTTAACACATTTATCTTATAGCATGTCTAGTGACATTACTATTAATGTAACTCTTGAATTTTTTCATTAGAATCGTGTCGATGGATATATTATTAAGTTATATAAGATATTAAGTCAAATTATTAGCCACCAATAATATTATTTTGATTCCTTAATGCTTTTAGAAGTGAAAAATCTCCACAATCTTATTCCAATGGAGCAAATCCTAAAAGATTTTTAGCCGTTAATCTCCACTTTACAATAGAAAAATCTCATGGTTATACCAATCTTAACGTTGAGGAATGCACGTATTTTTTAGACCAATCTATTTATTTTTTGGGTGAGTTGACAGATATTTTATTATAAAAAAAGATCATCATGTATTTTCATGTCTGATTAAAGTCCTGATACATTTCCATGACTCAAATTTTTTTAGTACTTTAATCAACTGAAGTATAATATCGTAATCCAAATATAAACTAGTACAAATTCATTGCATCCTTGGCTTGGCTTGGCTATTACTCAGACGTGGAATGAAATAAGAAGATTCTATTCTCATGTAGTGGAAGGAGACCAATCAAATAAATTTTCCAGTTAGGTTGGTTGAATGTGGTAGAAAAATTTGTACGAGGACTCCTTTTTAATGGGTTTGACTATGACATCAACAGATTTTTTTTTTTTTTTGGTATTGTATGATTTATTATTTTTTTTTGGGTATTTATGTCACTTTTTGGTGGAGCGCTCTTATCAATTTTAAGGGTATACTTAGGTCTGTCAATATGTAGGATCTTAACAATTTCTAATCAATTTTTTTTTTTTTTGTGGAGTCTAATTTGGTGTTGATCTGGATGAAAATTCGATCCAAAATAATGTTGCGTAGTTTTTAATAAGAACCTATTACTTTGATGATTAGGGTTCGTGTGAAATTGTATAGTCGCCCTCTGTATTCCGCTCTCTCAATAGTGAAATCTCTGCAGTTTCGAACTATGATGGTGGGGTGGGTTTGATGGGTCTATGGTAGGGTGGGCTCGGTGGTGGGTTTGATGGTGGATTGAGGGGCAGGAGGTAGTGTGATGGTGGAAGAAAGAGAGAGGGGGGAGAAGAGGAGCAGAGAGTCAAATAGCAGAGAAAGAGGAAGGAGAAAAAAGAGATACCAGGGGTCACTTGGCATCAACGATGGGCAGTGGCATGGTGTGACACAGACAGTGGAGACAAAGAGACGGAGGAAAAGAGACGTTGGGGATAATGTGTCAGATAATTGAGTTGGGTATTGTGCATAAGGTTTGGGCAGTGTGAGCCTTTGGATTAAATTGAAATAATGGAGATGAAATTTGAGCCATTAAATTAAAAGTAGATTAAATCTGAGCCTTTTTTTTTTTTTTTTTTTTTTCAAATTTTAAAGATTCAAATGTGGTTCTATCTTATTATTATAGATTATAGATGCGCAAATGCCTAAAAAGATCGAAGAAGTACCTAAATAAATGACAAATTAATTACTCAAAAACTTATAAAATAAATTAATAATTAAATTAATTATTAAATTTAATTACACATATAAAAAATAATATTATTTAAATTTATTTACGTGCAACGCACGTCGTGCATTGCTAGTCCGAATAGAAGTCTACTTCTTTATTAAGAGGCCAACAAGTAGAAATATGAAGAGCATAGGAGTCCGTTTGGTCAGCAAAAAAAAAAAATGTCTGTTTTTGGTAACAGAATTTATATTTTCTGTACAATGTTTTGTTAAAACAGTTCCTGTTTTTTTTTATTCTTGTAATCTCTAAATTTCATTAATAAAATTTCTCTCTTCTTTCAAAATAAAAAAAAAAGGTGTTATACATTGTATATAAATAAACTTTCATATCCGGGAGGTAGCGTAAAAGATTCGTCAAGTGTGAAATTCCATTGTATTCGAGGAGTCCAGGATTTGTTGACAATTCCAAATCGAACAAGAGGCAGATCAAAATATGATCCAAAAAACCTAAATCAATATGAATGGAAGATGCTTACCGAAAAAAAAGTTGATTTGAAAAATAATTTCTACAATTTTTTTTTAAATATTAAATCTTAGATAATTTATCAAATATTATATATATTCATAAATATTTAGTAGCAATTTGGTTGCAAAAGACGGGCATAAGTCTAATGTCGTACAAAAGAAAAAATAAAATTGCCACAATTTTTTTTATTGATGGAGTTTTCTAAACTAAATTTCAACAAAGGATTGAAATTAGACCTAATTGTAATAAAAATTTGATAGGATGAAATGATGGTTTGATAGGAAAAGTAGGATCTTTTAAAAAAATAAAATAAAAAAAGAGTAATATTATTCATACATAATTGGTTACTTTATTTTATTGTTGTGGCCGAACCGTAGTATTGATGTGTTTTTTTATTAGTTGAGTCTTGCAATCAATTTAATTGCACTACTAATAGATTAGATTAGAGAATTAGGTGACTAAATTAAGTTAGCGGCAAATCCGAACTAAATATCAGAAAGCGATTCATTAGGCGTGCTTAAGATTTGTAAAGAGTCAACGTGTTTGTCCCACATCGAAGCAAAACTCAAGTAACAGACGGCATTTAAAGTCCTGTGATAGCATTACAGGGCACGACCTTACTTGAACAGGATCTGTTCTATAGGCTCGTACCTCCGAATCCTTGTGTTCTAAGGAGAAAGGAAACCAAGTCTGGTGGATGAATTATGACCGTGTGATCAGAGCGTGATTAACAGCTCTGTTGGTCCTGGTTCTGGATGAGCAGTGCAGTAGAGGATCGTTTCCAGCAGTTCATTCTGCTGGGATGGTCACACGGTTGTCTGACAGACTCCAATCCCCCTTTTTTGTTGTGTTTTTCAGCTGTTTGATTCTATGCCCAAACTGAAAAGGATTAATACCCCACCCAGTTGGAATTACGAAAGAAGGATGGTTTTTTTTGTGTGTTTTTGGTGTAAATCAGTTGTTTGATTCTATGCCTAGCTGAAGATTGGTGCTCTGATTCAAGAAACTGAACTGGATTAATACCCACTCAGTTGGAAGTACGAAAGAATGATGGATTTGTTTGAGAGTTTGAAGATTTTTTCATGACTGAAGCTCTATGTCTGACCGACAGGTTCAAACCCACCATTTTTTGCCTTTTTTGTTGAAAAACAGCTGGATGATTTCGTATCTACCTGAAGATTGGTTCTCTGTAATTGAAGCACCTGAATTATCATCATTATTTTTGCTTTTTTTTGGGTGTAAATCGGCGACGTGATTCTGCAACCAGATGAATATTGGTGGCAACTGAATTGGATTAATGTGCACACCCAGTTGGGAATATGGAAGAAGCATTGATATGTTTGAGAGGTTGAAGATCTTTACATGAGAAAATATTTCATGTTTAGCAGGTACCAAGTTGCACCATTATGTGGTACTCACCCCCAATTAGAAGAGGCCATCTCAATAACATGTCTGACAATGTCAGAAAAATGCCAACTCAGCCATATTGCTGATGTGGTTAACGGGGATAACATTTTCCGTCTTCTCCCTCCTCTATTATTTCTCTCTCTACTGCAAGCTAATCATTTCAGCCGTCCACCCTATTCATTGTTGACATTTCATCTCTGAATTTTCTTAATTCTTTTCAAACACCTCTCTCTCTCTCATCTCTCAGCCCATTATCTCGCTTCTTAGTTCCTCCATCCTGTCATTTTTTTTTCTGGTCAGCCATATTTTCTCTCTCTCTCACAAAACCCATCATCTATCTTCATTTCTACCATTATTGGTTTGTTCTTCTTCACGCAGAGCGTTCGATCTCTTTGTAACAATTGCTTTATTTTTTAGCCTTTGTATTTTTATGGCTTATAGCACCATCCTTCTTTCCGTTTGCTTTCTTTTTCTCTCTCCTCTCATTTAACAGTGAGTGAGCTACACAAAGTATTCTTTGAAGATCAAGCTCCCACACGAGATTCTTCCAATAAGTTTTTTATGGGTTTTGATACCAACTTATATGTTGCGGGTTTGGTTCTAGCGGATCTGATCGAAAAAATTATCGGCGATAAGATAAAGCAACAGAGTTGTTGAGGTTGAAGTTGCGTTCCCTAGACTTAGTGTAGTGGACATGTGGTATGTTGTAATCACAGGTGGCAACTCGCCATGATGCATGCATTTGAATGGTGCAATAAGTATTTGGTTGGGCAAAGGGTAAAAGATAAGAACAAGATTGCACCTTATCTAATTGGATTGTAAAGCCACTTCAGCTGGGTCTTTTAGCTATAGTAATTGAACATTTTAGATGATTTCTTAGAAGTTATTTTCTGGATTTACTTGTCCAAATTCAAAGTTCTGATAGTTCAGACTTCATTTTGTATTATTATATTTGTTCTTATAATTCTTAATTTATTCCTTGTAATCTGGTTGGAAACAAAAGTTATTTGTTTTTTTAAATTAGTTATTTTTCTTTTTATTTAAGAAGTAAATTGTAGGAAGTCTACTTAACCCACCCACTAATTCTTGTGACCACAATTGGTAAGGGAAGTCTTGTTAAACAAACCAAATATGATTCTACAATCTACAAAATTGAAAAAACCTGTAAACTTACGATTCTTTTGAACGAAGCTGGTAATGCTATGGGACCCAAAAAATGAGAAGTTTAACAAAACCTGTAAACTTACTCCAAAGGCAAAAGTAAATTTTTCTTTTTAATTGTTTAACATTTACAAAATTAAATGAGTTCACAAAACATAACTTCTTCGATAGAGACAATTCATCGAGCAGTTGGTGAACAAAGTTCGATTTAAGTTTCCTTCGAGCAGATTCACTTTTGCCTCAATGGATTCACATTTAACACAATCTAAGAACAATAAAAAATGGATAAACTAATCATTAGTTAACACCAAAGTAACAGAAGAGAAATGGAGGAAAGGAGAAGATATCTTTAGGATCCATAAGGATTTTTCTGATTGATAATTTTGATCTTACGGCAGGGTAATTTAATTTGATTTAAGAGTGGTAAAATTTTATTTTTCCCAACAAGAATACATGGGATAACTTGGTAAACAAATAAAAACAAAATTAAACATTTAAATACACCCAATTTTTTCAATTAACTAAAATGCAAGTAACAGTGCCACATGTTCACAACCAAGACAGTATTGACAAGCATGAGATTAAAGACTATGGACAGATCAGTCCTCCTACTCCATCTTCACGCCATCGAAGCTTTAACTGGAAGCCTTAAGAGCAGCTCAAATATTCAGCCACAATGAAGTATCTGAAGCACAACTAAACATAGATTTAGGCATGAACCACAAAACACCCTTAGTGAAAAAGGGAAAACTAGTTCATTGAAGAGAAGCTGAAAGAAATGGTAGATGGAGGAGAGAGAAAAAAATGATGTGAAAATATTGGGTTAATCTCATTTTGTACCCTGAAAGATCGTTTGAATCTTAATTTACACTCTCAAAGATCAAAAATTTCAATTTATACCCTCAAAGATAGAAATTTGTATCAATGTACACCACCAAAGATCAAAAATTTCAATTTGCACCCTCAAAGATAGAAATCTGTATCAATGTGCATCTAAAACTAAATTGATAAATTATACCTAGATCCCCTTATATTTGTTACTTAATCATTTGAACCCCTTCACATTTAGAATATTACCCCTACATCTCATGACGTTTGTACATGTGTAAACATAACCACTTTTCGTTGATATCTATTAATATAATCGTTAAAAAATATAATTTTATCCTAATAAAAAATTATAATTTCATATTACCCTTTATTCTGTGGATTCAATATACTCTAAAGTTCAAAATCAAGCTTACCATTTGAATGTTAATAGAATGTAGATATTTATGAAAAGGAAAATATGAAAAACATTATATAAATATCTACATTTTATTAGACATTCAAATGGTAAGTTTGATTTTGAATTTTAGAGTATAGTAGACCCATAAAATAAGGGTAATATAAAATTATAATTTTTTATTAGGATAAAATTATATTTTTTAACGGTTATATTAATAGATATCAATAAAAATGAGTTACATGTTGTACGTGCATAAATGTCATGAGATGTATGAGTAATATTCTAAATGTAAAGAGGTTTAAATGATTAAGTGACAAATATGAGGGGATCTAAGTATAATTTATCAATTTAGTTTTAGGTGCATAATGATACAAATTTTTATATTTGAGAGTGCAAATTGAGATTTTTTATCTTTGGGGTGCACATTGATATAAATTTCTATTTTTGAGG